TCGCTTCTGTGACTGTCGAAGTTATCTCCATCGTTGCTTCTGTGACTGTCGAAGTTATGTCCACTGCCGCTTCTGTGACTGTCAAAGTTATCTCCATCGTTGCTTCTGTGATTGTCGAAGTTATGTCCACTGTCGCTTCTGTGGCTGTCGAAGTTATCTCCATCGTTGCTTCTGTGACTGTCGAAGTTATGTCCACTGTCGCTTCTGTGGCTGTCGAAGTTATCTCCATCGTTGCTTCTGTGACTGTCGAAGCTATGTCTATCGTCATTTCTGTGGTTGTCGAACTGTCAACCATCGTTGATAGTACGGTTGGTGATTCAGTGGGTAAGGATGTAGTTGGGGGTGGTGTTTTACGCCGAGTTAAGAGAACGGCTGGAACAGTCACGGCAGTCACCACAATCGCAATCACAAGTAGAGTAAGAATAGTTTTGCCCAGGAGATGTAGCTTTCTATATTGATAATGATCTATGAAAAGAGTTTTTCTTAGCTTAGTTATACGAACTTGCCGGTGTTTAATTTCACTTCAGAAGTTTCTTCAATGTCGAATAACTCGCGTTTTGTCATTGATGCTGGTACAGTAACGCTCTTGAAACTTAATTGATCAGCTAGTCTATCACCCAAGAATGTTAAACAATTAAGCAGTTGATAAGTCAATCAACATCAAATGCAAAAAAAATGTAGATGAAGAAACAACTAACGCAGTATACTTTCAAAGTATGTTGCTATCTTTTGCAACTCACACGTCCTGCAACTTGGTGAGATAAAGAGCTCCCTTTCTTTCTTGTCAACAAGAGTCAAGGCTTCTGCTTGAAGATGTTTTCGCCAGCCATGTCAGTCTCTGAGTGTGGGATGGGTGGGTGCGGGTGCGAATATGGATGTGGATGTGGGATGTAGATTGAGAGATGATTCACACCCCATACCAACGCCCACACCCACACCCAAGACTTCCATAGAGTTTCTTCTTCATCAATAAGATGAAACATTTATCATATGACTTGTTCCCATTTCTTTCTCGTCGTATCATCATTGAAGTTGTCCATTCGGCATTTTATCTGTTCACGACTTATGAAATTATCGATTAGTGGATTTAAATGTTTAAAAACTGGCATTGAATATCAGTGATAGTTAAGCTGGTCACTTAGAAAAAAGTTCAAAGAAGATTTGATTACGACAGGATTTTCTCATTCGATGATTGCACATGAAAAGTTTGCCATCACAATCGATTAAGATCGACATCGACGAGATGGCCGAGCGGCTAAGGCGCTAGACTGCTAATCTAATGGGCTCTGCCCGCGTGAGTTATAATCTCACTCTCGTCGTCATTTTTTTCTTGTCAAGATTGGGTGATGTTTTTTTTTCTCAGGTGAATCATTGCAATAGTATTGAATGATGATGCAATACCAGAAGGATTAGACGAATGGATTTTTTTCACGATTGTCAACATCGAGTTTTACATGTGATCTAGTAACAAGAAAGAATCACACCATTCTATGGAAACAGTATGAAATTTTTGGTTCTTTTGTTGATTGTGCAGGAAGCGCCAGTACCTCGAACAAGAAGCTACACTGCCCATGCAGACACCTCATCCGACTACAATGATAGCTCGACAAAACATCGGTGCAAAATTCGAAATTCCTTGTTACCTACAGCGAGACGTACAGTGCGATCATCAATGGAAAAATTCTTTGAATCTTTTTCTGACCACATCGATCAATCAATGCGTCGTTCTTATCATCTAATATCGTTTTTATCTATAACTATCAACATTCTTACACGATCTAAAAGCAATTTAGAGTTCCACTGTTAGAAAAACCAGTAATCAATCTCAATGATGATTCATATGACTACGTAGTAGCCCAGATAAATATCATGTATTGATGTCAATAATACTGTGACACGCATTGTCATTATATCATAAACTAATTTTCAGATATCTTGTATGGCTTCTTCCATCAACAAAATGGATTTTAAAAAGTGTGCAACACTCCTTTATGTTTAGGGGAATGATGAATCACATTGCACTTTTTCCAATGAATGATTGTTTTTCGAGCATAATATTCAAGCTTCGAAACATCGTCTCTATGAAAAGCACACGTTCATGTGAAAGAAGGCTTTTTCTACGATGAAGAGATTCAAATAAACATAATTTCAGAAAATGGATGCACTCATTTAAAAGTAGATTGACTACACTGCTTCACCGAATATTGTACAAATGCACTAAGAAATAGCTCCAACATATAGCATGCAGTTGGAAGTAAATAAATTCAGAACAGCAAGAATATGGTTTGTGCACGTAACATTAATACAATTATGAGATTTTTTCATGCTTTTAAATGAAATTAAAAAGAATCAGAAACAGAAAATGCAAGTGCCAGACACTTTTTAAAAGTATTCGGCGGTCTCATACAGATTCTCTTAAAGAAGTGAGATAGTTTCTGTGGAACTCCCTATGAAAATAATGGATGCATGTTTATGTCCAAAAACTTCTGGCTCTTCCACTTGCAAACATTTTTCTTTAGCAAGCGTTTTCCTTCTTAAATACGCGGATGCTTTTCAATATCTAACAAAAAGTACAAAGAAAAATAAGAATGTCTAGAAATCTTTTCGTCTAACACATCACATTTTTCTTACTTGCGACTGCAACGCTCGAATATTTCTTTTTGTGCTTACAGTTGAAGTTCTATCATGTAACATTGCTTGCTCACTAATTTCTTCATAAAAGAAACGATCAGATTTGTTTGACATAAAAGAAAAGAAATTGTTATAGAAGTTTGACTTAATTTCAGAGCTTTGGACTTACTTTCTCTAATTAGCTCAGATATAGTAAATAAAAGATTTAATTAAGTACAATTGTTGTTTCAAATGAGAAAATTCGTCTAATCTAGTCATGCGTCGCAGCACAGAGCAGTAGTCGAATCAATGTGAACGCTACATCAAAACTAGACAAGTCATGGCTCACAAAAAAACGACCTGAAAACAGCAATGATCGACAGTAGCATAATAACTGTCGAGAACGAATAGAGAGCACTCTAAAGATCTAAGAATTCAGGAAATCTTTAACACAAGTAGAGAGAATGAAACACATTCGATCCAGTCCTTTTTGGTTTGTGAAAGAAATTGCTGGTTCTTTAAAATTTGATGTATACCTCTAAGGATGATTGAATCTGACTGATGACATAATTAGTACTATCAGGAACTGTGCTGGCAAGTTTCTTCTATTGTAAAGTTTCCTAGATATGAGCTATTTTCTTTTGAAATTGAAAAATTTCAGCAACCATTTTAAAGTCAGTTATTTTGTTTCTCCAAATTTAGAGATGAACACATATAGTGACAAAGTACGAGACAAAAAGTTGAATTTCTTTTCTGTCTAGTGACCGTCTATTTAAGAGAAGAAATCTATTCTTTGAAGCTTTGTATGTCAAGCACGACCGTTTCATTGACATGTCTAATTGACCGTCACGAGACCTCGAAACATAGTCTTCCTTTTTATATAATGCGACGGGAAGTACGATTATCACCGTCGGAACAATATAGCATCAAAGGGTTTTCTTTATTTCTTGAAATATGTAGGAAATGACAATGTTATTGGTTGTTGCCGTCGCATAAACATGCGAATTCCTACAAAGGCAATGACAATAACAAATTCAATGCTAAGTATGACAATAAGTGTGGTGGTGCTCCAATAGAGCTTTCTAGATGGTGATGATGGCATCGATGTGGATGTTGTTGGTGGTGTGGATGTGTATGTTGTTGGTGGTGTGGATGTGGATGCTGTTGGTGGTGTCGATGTGGATGTTGTTGGTGGTGTGGATGTGTATGTTGTTGGTGGTGTCGATGTGGATGTTGTTGGTGGCGTGAATGTGGATGTTATTGATGATGATGCTGACGACGGCTTCGGACGATTAGCAGCTAACATGTTGAGAAGAGCACCTAATCGTTGACCTCCTTGAATAATCCGTTTTTCAATGACCGGAATATTTTTCTCATAGTAGACGTTGCCCAAATGAAAAACGGCTGAAGCATTCATTGTTATATTCCTCTCATCTATATAAACTTGTCCACAGACCAATTGCACACTTTCTGCAATCCATTGATTGAAATCACCGTTGTCAATTTTTGGTGTTTGATTGCGCATGAGATCATAAAGATATTCGTAGTACATGGTTATGTTCGAGTTAAAATTACGTGACATACGAACGTGAATGAGACCAGAATCCCAAAGAGAATGAAGATTTGTCTCGCGTGTACTATTCATGAAAAATCCTGCAAACAGAAAGATGCATCCAAACTATGATTACTCGATGTCGTAATTTGTCATTACCTTTCACCTTATTCCCACCCAGATCTCCTTCAAAGCTAACATGCAATGGTTGATGAACATCACCAGCAAAATGAACAAGAAACATGAGTGCCTCTTGATGTTGTGCACGGTCCAGGTCAGCAGCGATAACACGTTGTGAATAATTTCTCAGTGCGCCATCAATGCAACTATCATTCTTACAATCTCTTTGTCGATCGTAATTGCAATTCCAGTCAGGTAAATCAATATAGTGCAACGGTCGAGACCAATTCCAATTGCGGTAGTCAAAATGATTGGAGTTCTCGTGAATGATGTCATCGGGCCACGAAGCTACGGCCGTTAAATTACCGGATACGAACCAAGGAAGAAGAGGTTTGATCCATTCGGACGCATCTGTAGTCAATTGACTCTCGGCTAGATGAACAACAAGTGCATGCCCTTCGATGCCCCATCCGTGAACACTTTTTACAGTTACTTCAAAAATCAAGAAAAGTAACAAGAATAATGCAGACATTTAACTCAAGTTTTGCTTGGTGAAGATAACAACAGTATATTATTGATGTGAATCAACTCAAGAAAATAAAAGAGTAGAACAAAAAAGAGCTGCAGAATACGAGCAACAACATGTCGAGTATTATCGAGGATGTGGGTGGATAGGTGTTGCATATGAGTGTGGCTCTTATCTTCACTTATGTTCTTTATAAAATTGAAATTTGAAATTAAACATCACGTTTGGAAAACATGTGTGTTTTGAAGAGCAGAATTTACTTTTTCCACTGAGATCTTGCTTTTTTCTGTGCAATGTACTTATTAAATTCTACAGCGCTTTATAATGATCAAATCCTAATAAGAAGAAAACGCATATGGAAATATGATTCCAAGTACGTTTTAAAACTAAAACTGTTATAACATTTGAGCAATGCATTACACAAAAGAGTAGCAAGATTTCATGTGAAAAAAGTGAATTCTACTCTTAGAAATACGTTAGTTCTCCAAATTTAAAGTTTCATTTCATAGTTCAGCTTTTTACAAATAATGAACACTAATGTTCACTCAAATCTGTGATCAATCTCAAAAAAGAAAGATCTCATAAAAATTATCTGTTTCTCAACAATAACGAAATACTGTTTTGTTTTATTTGTAATACCCGTTCTTATGCATATAATAGAGGTTGAAAATGACAAAGAAATTTTCCCTGAGACACTTGTGAATTATTAATAAATTAATATTTTCCTAAATACTGCTTATTGTGTCGACGCGTTTTACCGAAATGTAGCATGTCCAATTTTACACCGATTTGTATATAAAATAGCTTACAGCTGTTGTTGAATATCACAAAAAAACTTTTGAATACTAAAAATATACTAATGGCTTTGCCTTTGACCAAACTTGTTTTTTGTATAATAATATCAAAAATACAATTTAGATATTGTGAATACACCATCATTCACGAAAAATAAAAGTCATCAAGGATAGTTTCGGAAAGATAGAAAAAAGAATAAAGATTTGGACTTTTCTTTTGCTGAAATAAATTAGATCACAAATAAGGAAGGGCAAAGCAATAAAATATGTCCTATTTCTTTTTTTTTGTCTTTTAAATCAGTTCAATAATAATTATCTTCATGACTTTACTTTCAAGTATCAAAACCAATATCTTTGTTTTGGTGTCTATATTTAATAGTTTTCTTGATATTGATATTCATTGTGAATTAAAAAACAACTCAGACTATCGTCACTATCAAAATAAATCATCATGCTTTACATTGATAATTGATATCTTCTGCCCAAATTAGTAGTATTTAGTATGGACCGCCGCCTCAAATCTCATTTTTCAACATTCAAGATCGATTTCTTTTCACTTAATCTTTCTCAATTAATTTTTAACAAATAATTTCAATCGATAAAACTACTAAGTATATTAAGCGATCAAAAGGATGCTGATATGGATGTGGGTGTGGGTGTTTTCTTCACTGATGCACTCACGTCCACACCCACCCACACCCACACCCACACCCACACCCACACCCACACCCCCACCCCCACCCACACCCACACCCACACCCACACCCACACCCACACCCCCACCCACCCCCCCACCCCCACCCCCCCCCACCCCCAC